TTCCCCAGCCAGCATTCGCTGGCTGGGGAATTCTGGGAGTTGAAGTCCAGACATCTTCAAGTTGCCAAGGTTGAGAAACACTGCTCTATGCATGGGGTGGCACAGTGGTTAGAATGCAGTACTGCAGGTTCTAACTCACTGCTCACTCCGATTCTGAAAGGTTGACTCAGCCTTCCATCCTTCCGAGGTCGGTAAAATGAGGACCCAGATTGTTGGGGGAAATATGTTGGCTATGTAAGAGCCGAGGTGGCGCAGTGGTTAGAGTGCAGTACTGCAGGCCACTTCAGCTGACTGCTAAGCTGCAGTTCGGCGATTCAAATCTCACCGGCTCAAGGTTGACTCAGCCTTCCATCCTTCCGAGGTGGGTAAAATGAGGACCCAGACTGTGGGGGGTGATATGCTGACTCTGTAAAACCGCTTAGAGAGGGCTGAAAGCCCTATGAAGCGGTATATAAGTCTAACTGCTATTGTTATTGCTATGTAAACCACTTAGAGAGGGCTATAAAGCACTGTGATGTGGTATATAAGTCTAAGTGCTATTGCTATTTCCTGAACTTTTAATAAACTCTCCACTGGATTGCGAGTAGAGTATCTACTGTCTAATCAAGTCAAGTCTTGCAACTAGTTGCTTCCTAAACTAATCTGATGTTATCTTCTTGGCCCTCATCCTACCCACTCAGAAGACTTTGCAAAGAGCAGATGAGGCTAAGAAATGGCCAGACTAACATTACCGTAACCCAAGAAGACAGAGGCTTTTGTGAAAACCATGTACTGGCGAGGAAATTTGAAAAGAACAGCTCTTAAAGGGGAGGAAGTTAATTGCTTTCCGAGAAGAGTGAAATTAATAAAAGGCTCAGACAAGACAAGAGTCTGTTCAAAGTTTAGAAGTGTGGAAAATGTGGGCAACTTTCAGAAGCAGCGTGGAAATGTAACAGGCTATATACTGTAACTCATTAGGAAAATGGAGAATTTGAGCAAATACACCTGGAGGACCTGTCACCTGCCTATTACGTGTAGCTCCCCAGCTGTCCAGCACCTTTGTATGGAAAAGTATATTCAAGACCCATGTTACCTAATCATTGGGGATGAAACGCACAAACGGGGGGAGGGGAGAAGGAAGCTAAAATGAATAACTGTACGCTGATCGTTCATTTCTCTTTCTCTGCCCTGAGTCAATTTTCATTTCTTATTATGAAGCTCCATCTTATAAGCTCAGGAAAAATAGAATATATTGAAGGAGGGGAGGGGACTGGCAGATGTTCACTTTTTTAGTGTGTTACTGTTTCTACAACAACAAATATTTCTAAGAAATTTTTATTTATGTCAGGGGTGGGTTCTGGCCAGCCCTACTGCTGGTTTGCTCGTGCGTGCGCTGTGCGCGCATGCACAATTTAATTGAAATTGTTCTGCGCATGCACAGAACTAAAAAACAAGATGGCGTCGGGGATGGCGGTGACCGGGAAACCAGTTTGGGGGTGTGGCAGGTCTGCTGGTTCCAGCGACCCAGGCCGCCATACCACTACCAGTTCGGCCGAACCGATAGGAATCCACCACAGATGCAATTATGTATGTATGTATGTATGTATGTATGTATGTATGTATGTATGTATGTATGTATGTATCAGGGGTGGGTTTCAACCGGTTCGCGGCGGTCCCTGCGAACCGGTTGGTCGCCAAACCCGGAAGTAAGTAACTTCTGGGAACGGCGAAGGCCCCCCCTGCGCCCGCACGCCCGTGCGCACCCGCGCCCGCTCCTTACCCGGTTTTGATGAATTCTGCGCTTCCACACATGCGCGGACGCATA